GCTTCCCGTGAACACACACCCTGGTAAGCAGCAGGTGAGGACACATGTAGTTGTGGGAGAACTGGATTTATTTCCGAGTTTTAGGCTCTGGCCTGGCCCAGTCTGGGCTGCGGCAAGCATGTGGGAGTAAACAATGGATGATCTCTCTCTCTCTCACTTGCTCTCTTTCATACTTTCAAATAATCATTACTATCAAGAAGAACTCAATGAATGAAATATGGCAATCAGTTTATAAGTATGTCATCTAAACTTCCAGTGGGAAAATGTTCTAAATCAGAATTAGATCTTTTAAAACCTGGCCTTGGGAGCAGGTGTTTAACTAGAGTTAAGAGGCTGGTGAAAATGCCTGCTTCCCAGGTAAGAATGTCTCAGTACAACCCCCAGCTCCAGCTCCTTCTTCCAGCTTCCTGCTAATACAGCCCCGGAGAGAGGCAGTACACAGGACCTGACTTCCTACCTCCCAAAAGGTAGTGCAGGGCCCGGCGACATGGCATAGCACCTAAAGTCCTCACCTTGCACGTCCGGGATCCCATATGGGCGCCGGTTCTAATCCCGGCAGCTCCGCTTCCCTTCCAGCTCCCTGCCTGTGGCCCGGGAAAGCAGTCGAGGATGGCCCAAAGCTTTGGTACCCTGCACCTGAGTGGGATACCTGGAAGAAGTTCCTGGTTCCTGGCTTCGGATCGGCATAGCATCGGCCGTTGCGCTCACTTGGGGAGTGAATCATCGGATGGAAGATCTTCCTCTCTGTCTCTCCTCTCTGTATATCTGAATATCTGCCTTTCCAATAAATAAATAAATCTTTAAAAAAAAAAAAGGTGGTGCAGCTTCAGTTCCTAGCTCCTGAATTTGGCCTAGCCTACTGTACCTGCTGTAGGCATTCGGGGAACAAACCAATGATGGGAATGCTCTGTAACTTTCATTCTCTCTGCCTCTCAAATAAATAAATCCTGGACCAAAAAGTAGACCATGAATGCCTCTGTTAAAGAAGCCATTTCTTTCTCCCAATACAATGTTCCCAAATATTTTTCATTATTACCCCCAAAGGGCAATTTTAGATTCCCCCCCCCCCAATTTGCATCCTTCTGTGAAATTTTAATACCACAGCACTATATGTCTGTTTCAAAATGACTAGATAAAAATTTTTAAAGTTACAATAGAAATGTCAAAGCTACTAACAATCATATTCACTAAAAAACTACTTGTAATGTTACATGTACAAATTACCAACTTTAACTACATAATACCATCATAATCAAATTTTTCAAAACATTCTTTTTCCAGAAACAGTAAGACTATTGAAAAAATGACTTTCTTAAAAATTGTTTGTAGTGAACTTAATTTTTGTACCCTATAATATGTGCCTTAACGAGGGGCTATATATTCATTCAGGCTTTGTCAATAGTTTCCCTTCTCAGGCAGCTTGATCAAAAGAACTAGATAATGAAATACAAACTATTTTCATGTAAATCTCAAATTCTAAACCACACACAAAAAAACTACAGAGACCGTTCATGGCAGTCCATTGACTGTAGAAATGCCCAATCAAAAATATAACTTCAAGAATGTCCTGACCTTACATACATTCAATATATCTTCCATGAACTCTCTGTGAATACCCTCCAAGACACACCCAAAAAATCCAACTGGAGATTTTAATGCTAAGAAATAAGATTAGGGCCTGCACAGTGGTGTAACGGGCTAGTTTTCCACCTGTGGTGCTGGCATCCCATATGGACATTCATTGGAGTCCCAGCTGCTCCACTTTTAATCCAGCTCCCTGCTGATGGCAAGGAAGGCAGGAAAAGACAGTACAAACCTTGGGTCCTTGAACCAAAAGTTCCTGGCTCCCAGCTCTGCAGTGGCCCTACTCTGGCCATTTTTGCCATTTAGGGAGTAAAACAGCAGATGGAAGATATTCTCTCTCTCTCCCTACTACTTATTTTCAAGTAAAATAAATACATTTTTTAAAAAGGAGAGAAAAAGTCATCCACTGCCACCATGACTATGGGAGATCGCCCCTGGATCGCTGCCTGCTTGGCCTCTTGGCCTCTGTGGGAGGTCACAGGCACATGGCACACTGTGTCCCGGGGGACCCCTACCGCCCCCCGACAATGGTTTCTGCTGAGACCTCAAGCTGGTCTGTTTACTGGCTACGCAGGTAAAAATGATGAGTTACATCCCAGCCTCTCTTCTCTGTCCTTGGACAAGCTGTGCTAGAACTTCCTTGATAAGCAACTCTGAGAAGTCAGTTGCAGCCACATTATCTGCCAGCCTACCTGGTATATGTGACCTACAGCCTACCTGCCAGCCTTGTTGTTCGTGACCTAGGACATGACTGGAGGAGCTAGAGAGATAGACATGCCTTCTAGCCAATTACAGTGCCATTATTGGGTGGGAGGACTGTTCGGAGGCGCCCCCTTGCCTTCCTTTTCCTTAGTCTATATATGCTTGTGCGTGCAATACAATAAACAGACATGCTCAATCAGACCGTCTCTGGTGGGTCTTACTGCTGAAGCAACTCATCCTTGTGGTTTCATGGGCCTAATGGACAGAAAATCCCCGAGAATGACAGCTTCTTTATGATTACCATTTCTTTTGGTACTTGGAAAGAGAAAGGATTTCCATATTATCAGTCCTTTCCCAAAAAGGAGTCCCTTTATTTCTTCCACCAAAAGCAAGGTTTCAGAGCTGGAAGAATACCTAGGAATCCTCCACACCCTGCTTCTTCAGCAGGGGAAGCTGAAGGACCCCTCAAGAGGCTGGGAGCTTGTTGAGTCAAGGTCACTGTCAGGTTCACTGTTATAGCTCCAGGCTAGCACGGGGCATCATGCCTAAGTAATCAGATATATGCACACATCAATGAATGAATGACTTCGGAGCAAAGAGCACAGAGTCCAGCTTTCCTCATTTGTAGCCTGGTGCTCTCCCAACTATGTTACCTTGTCCGTTTCCACTTGCCAAGAGTTCCAGATGTGACCACCAAGACAATGACACTCCTCTGAAATGGATGAAAAGTTTTCTAGCTGAAAGGAAGGATTCTACACACCTAGTAAAGGACCAAGAATATGGTCTTCTTCATACCAGTCTACAGCACTCTCTCCACATTGGCTCAGCTGGCCTTCAGGGCCTCTCCATGGCACTTGTGTGTGTCATTCTTCTCTGCCTGGACTGAAAGCTCTAGAGAGCCAAAACAGTGTCTTCTCTTAAGTTTGAACATGGAGCAACGTTCAACAGATGCTACAAAACATACGCCAACAGATACGGTGTCCCATGAGCAGACTGCATGTGGACTAAGATCTCTAAAGCTTGTTCATGTGCAGGAATCAGAGATGTGTCTGCTAAGAAGTGAGTGGATAAAGGAAGAAGAAAAACTGAGAACTTACTAAGCAATTAGTCATTCAAAAATTTTTACTTAAGAAGTATCTACCAGGCTCTCTGGTACTCTAATAATGACCACAAAGCTAAGCCCTGGTCATTAGCTAACAGGTCTCCATCCATGGGACCATCCTGTTGGCAACGGCCATACCTAGCAGGGCCACATGTCAGCCTGGCCAGCACAAGCCAGCACTCACCATGAACCCTGCCTCCTCAACAACATGCTGAGCTCTAGACAGTCAGTCGTATAGTTCTAGGCACAGCAAATCCTTCTGGATAAGCCCACCAAGACTCACACCGATCTCTCCACATTCATGGCCAACTCTGCTTCTTCCATTCTTAGCAACAGCTGAACTAAATGACTACATATAGGGAAGCAGCTGGGATATGGGACTGGGACCATCACGCAGAAGGCTCTGCGCGGAAGGACCACAGACATTTAATATACCACCACAGAAGGGTGTAAAGACTTAAGGAAGGAAACGAAAGTATGGTCCCAGTGCTATGAAAGTGTTACTACCTTGATTAGAGAGAGCTAGACCAGGAAGACAGAAGAAAAAAAGACTGGCTCCAGGTCATATATAGACAGCATAAAGCTATAAATAAGTTTCCATGGATGAAAATAGCAACAAAGACGCTATTTCATCATTTGCCTGTATGAGTAGTGGAAAACTTTCAACCACATACAGATGCATATCAACACGTTCTCCACGGATCTGCGGTCTCCGGATCCTGAACGCTCAGGGCAGGCCGTAGGTAAGGAAGACGCCGGAGAGCCCGGCTGAACTGCAGTTCGCTTTTTGTTGTTTTTATTTGGGACACACAGCATTCATCATCAGGGGTTCCCTAGCACTAACCCGCCTTCTCCAGATCTTCCACTATTGCATCACTGGAAACTAAAACCTTCCGACTGGCGACTTGTAAAATCCCAGCCGGTTAAAATGGCAGCAGCCGCCGCAGCAGTGGGTGCTGGGGCTGCCGGCCTCGGCCTCCACTTCCAGCTCCGGAGTGCGCCCGGTGCTGAAAAGGAGCAGTTGGTGAATCCACAGGTCCGTCGCGCCGCCACGGGAGGCAGCAGTGGCGCCTGAGACTGCGGAGAAGGGGGGAACCCACGAGAAGCGCCGACCCTCAGTCAGTCACCGGCAATGAGGGCTTGGCGTGGGGACGAGACCAGACAACCCACCTCCTGATGGGCTGCACACACACCCTTGGTCCCCGCTTCCCCGAGCAGTTCCCCCTCTTTCGGCCGAACGCCAGGTTAACTTCCACAAAAGGTGAGGTTCCCAGGTCGAGAACCGACGGCAGGCTTGGACTTTGCACAGTCCACGCGTCTCCCAGAGAGACTCTGAGCTGCGGGTCCTCCACCCTCGCTGGTGCGCACCCAGCGCGCGGCTGGACGGGCGCGGATTCCCATCCATTCCGAGCCCACCCACCTTCCGCGCTGGGGTCGCCCACTCAAAACCCCGTCCCTGCTTGGGCGCGCCAGCCCGCCCGTCCCAGAGTCAGGGGGCGGGACCTCTGCCGCCCCGGGCGAGCTCGCTCCTACCCCCGCTCCTCCCCGCCCATATCCCGGGGTCCCCGTCCCAGGCGCCGGGGCAGTGTCTGCGCTCCCCATCAGTTACTACCTCGTCGGCTTCCAGGTCCGCTCGGTTGCTTACGAGCGCCATGTTTCTCTCCTCCGGCGGCTGTCGCCCAGAAGCCGACAGTTTCTCCACTCTGGGGCCAGCGCAGCTTTGCTAAGGGAGGAACCCGCCCGCCAGTGCTCTCCCCGCCCCCCGAGCCCAGCAGCACCCACTTCCCGAGCGGACGCCCGGCGGCCGTCCCGCCTCCAGCTCCGCCCCTGCACGAGGCTGCGACCGCGGAGCAGCCAACCAGGCTCCCTCTGCGTGGGGCGGAGACGCCTAGCAGACGGCTGCTCTTTGGGGCTTTTCTGTCCTCTGGGAGTGAGCCTCAAGGGTGCCGGTCGCCTGGGCTCGGAAGGGCGCAGCCGACCAGGCCAAGGTCGCAGCGGCGCTCCACTTGGGCGCCCACGTGGTCCTCCGTTTCCCTCGCCTATGGGAGGGTGGGGGAGACGAAGGAGACCTGAGTCTTGCAGGTGTGGCCAGAGGGCAGGCGTGGGACGCACGGTCACCTAGAGGTCCCTGGACGCCAAGGACGCCTTCAGGTACAGGGACTCTGTTTACGAAAGGTAAAAACCCACAGCCACTTACACAGCTGGCAGTTGTTAATAACCTTTCCCCTGCCGCTGATTTGCGTTTATACTCCCTTCTGTGTATCCTTCACGGACCCCTGCTGTAGCTCCAGTTACATCTTTGATTTGTGCTTCACTCTGAGGTTTCGTGAGGACACGGATGCTGTTTTCAAAGCTGTATCCGCCAGCACCTGGAGCCCTGCCTTGGGGGTGATGGGCATTCCCTGAAGACTGACTGAGTTCACGAGAATATTGTTTCTGATGGAAAGTAATTGACCTTTCCACAAGGAAAGTTTAAAGGGTATTTCTGTTAGGAGATGAGAAGGGCAAACTTTATTTTACATCCAAGAAAACTCAAATTGAAGTGTCAGCGCAATGTCAGGAGCGTTACAGACTGCATCCATTCATAATCTAGAACTTGCCAAAAAGTTCTCTAGGACACTTCCAGTTTCTTACCATCACCCTCCTTTTCTGGCAACCCATGGTCTGTATACTCTCTATCAGCATTGGTTTGCCTTTTCTAAAGTTTCATATAAATGTAGCCATACAGCATGGAGTGTTATGTGTTTGGCTCATGAATGACGACCTACTGACAATGATAAGTGTAAAAACGGCTAATCGTTTTGGGGACCTTCTGTGGCCAGGTCTGTCTGTGCTCACTGCCATGCCTGTGTGACTGTTGTATCTTCAGAACTCCATGAAGTAGAGTGCTTTTACAGAGTTCTGAGAGTTCCAATAACTAGCCTGAGGTTGGCCAGCTATTAAGGAAGCAGGGATGCCAGCAGCCTGGCCCCAGGGATTGTAGGAAACCCTTGCAGCTTTTTTTTTTTTTTTTGAAGAATAATTGGAGTAGAATCATTTTTTAAATGGCAGAACTGCCCTGCAGTTTGCTATTAACATGTTGTAATAGTCAAGTGAGATTACTCATATATTCCATTTCCCAGAATTCACTAGCACAGGCCTTAAGCAAGAGAAATGTCTGAATTGTTTTATTTTAAAGCCACACCTGCTAAGAGCTTTTAGGTTTCAAAAGAAACCTAGCATTGCAGACAGGCTGTCTACAGCAAAAAATACTAGGGCCCAACATTTAGTAAGTGATGCATTCATGGCTTTTGAGCAATAAGTTCACAGTACATTAGGCATTGCTGTTTAAATAAATTTGCAATGCAAAAGTTTTAGCATAATCCACTAATGAGAAAGATTCAAAGAATGAAAATAGCATGTAGTCTGCCAAGTAAATATTGTTTCGAAGGGCAGCGTGGCAGGCACGATGACCGTCTTCAGTGCCCACTCTCTTTAATGCCAGAGCGTTTTTTCACAATTATATGAGAGCTGTGCACTTTGAGGTCCCTCAGTGACCAAAAGAGGAACAATCCACATCCCTAAGAGAGGCTTAAATGCTAGGAGGGAAAAAAACCACATCGTTAGTGGAGGCTGAAGTCCTGACTTAAGGTCTGTTCCCGGCATTTAGAGTTGGGTAAATATTCATTTTGTCCTACTGAACCATTGTTTGTGCACTTTTTAAAAATATATACATGATTTTTCCAGTCACCTTCCATTTATTTTCACAATCTTTAGCATAATTCCACAATACTTTAGCATAATCTCAGTTTTTCAAATGAGCGCAAAAGGTGACCCAGAGAAGAGAGCCCAAATACAAAAGCAAGCCATGGTGATCTGTGAGCTTAGGGCAAGATTTTTACTTTTAGTCGTATTATTACAGATTGTTTTAACATGTGTATTTTAATTTGAAAAACGTTTTTATTTGAATGAGTGTCGGAAAAAGATATTTTTATCAGCTGATTCATTCCTCAAATACCTGCAGCAGTTAAAGCTGAGCCAAGCTGAACCAAGAGCCAAGAACTCCATCCAGATCTACCACATGGGATTAGGGCCCCAAGCACATGAGCAGTTACCTGCTGCCTCCCAGATGCACACTAGCAGGAAGCTGGATCAAAAGCAGAGAAGCTGGAATTCCAATCAGAAACCCAAGTATGGGATACAGGGCCCCAGGTGTCATCTTAACATGCCGTGCCACAATGCCTGCACCCAAGGGTTGAAGATTTTCTCAAGAGACCAGTGTGTGGGGGGAGGATGGCGGGAAGGAGAGCAGCACAATGGCTCAACTGGCTAACCCTCCACTTCAAAACCCCAGCATCCCGTATGAGTACCAGCTCATGTCCCAGCAATTCCACTGCCCATCCAGCTCCCTGCTTGTGGCCTGGAAAGCAGTAGAGCATGGGCCAAAGCCTTGGGACTCTGCACCCACATGGGAGACTAACAAGTTCTGGGCTCCTGGATTTGCACTGGCTCAACCATTTGGGGAGTGAACTAATGGATGGAAGATCTTTGTCTCTCTGTTTCTCCTTGTCTCTGTAGAGCTGCCTTTCAATTAAAAAAAAAATCTTTAAAGAAAGAGCTTAAGGGAACCAGCCCCTTAAAAAAAAAGACAAATAACAGATTGAACATTGGCAAACCTATCAATTCACCTCCTAGGATTCCCACATCCCATATCAAAGTCCCTCGGTTTGAGTTTCAGCTCCACTTCTGTTCCACCTTGGGTGGTAGCAGGTCATGATTCAAGTGCTTGGGTCAATGCTAATCCCTTGGGAGACCCATACATCCAGGTTCCTAACTTCAGCTGGTCCACTCTGAGCCATTGAGAACATCTGGGGTATGAGCTAATGGGTAGAAGATTCTCTCTCATTCATTCTCTCTCTCCCTCTTACCTTCTCTGCTTTTCAAATCTATATATCTGTCTTTCATTTAAGAATCGATGGAAACTGTGGAAGAAGCTGCTTCTTGCCACTTGCATTCTTGCTCCCCTGAATGTACTTAAGGTATAAGCGAGAGAATCTGATTTGCTGGAGGGCAGCAGAGAGCCTGAGTGGGGAAAAACACATTTTCAAGAGTGACTTTATTATTAAGAATGGTCAATGCAACTACAAATCAGCTGTTGAAATATATTTGCTTTTCATCAGGATGGCTTTTTGAAGGAAAATGACAACCGGAATAAGTAATCTTTTTCTCTATTGTCCCCCGTCCCTCCTCCCTGCAGCCTAGAACACATGTGAAAGTTGGAGCTGCTGCCTCTGTGAAGTAACTAACATACTGGGAACGGAAGCCATAAGCCGGAACAGCAGAACTAAGGTAGGGGTCGAGGTTCCTGATATCCATGAAGCTGCCGCACAAGCCCTGGAAACCTCCAGATATCTATTATGTGAGTAATAAATTAATTTTCTTCTTTTGTTACATTTCTGTTACAGTCAAACAAACCTAAATCTAGAGATGTAAGTATCTAATTGAAGATGGTTTGGACAGATACCACTTACATGCTCCCACTCACCCAACAACGTCACCGGAGAACTTCTGCTCAGAGCTGGACCAGACAGTAGCTGACTTGGAGCTACCATGCGTGGCACGCTTCTCTCCTGAGGCCCCTTCCCCCCAAGTCTTTTTCCTTGATTCTGTTTTGCCTTTTCTGGCACCTTCACACCACTAGAGTGTTTTATTATCCTGCAAGTCCAAGCACTAACGAACTCCAGCACCTTCTTCAAACAACATTCTCATTGTATTTCATACATAGTATAGTAAATTAATAATTATCTTCAACCATCTTCAGCAATTCTATTCTCACTGCTTCTTTTAGGGCTGGTATTTGCAGTTCTCTTTGGAATAGTCGCTTTGGGCTTATATCAGGCAGCGACTAGAACAGTGGTCACAGATCCAAACATTCCTTGCAGGACTTACACACTATAATATTTCTATTCCAGCAGCAGTTTTGACTCAGCACTGTATTATGATGTGCCTAAAAACTATAGTTCTCAAACTCAAACATACACCTGTGTGGCTTGTTAAAACATGGACTGCTGGCCCAAATCCCCAGAGATTGTAATTAGGGAGGTCTGGGGTAAGTCCACTGTTACTGCTTATGCTCCTAACTCAAACCCCATGCTTTAAGACCACTGCTGTGAAGTCTGGCAGGCAATTTGAGCCACTCTAAGCATCAAACATAAGCAACTGTTTGGCTTCCAAAGGTAGCCTACCAACTACAAATTCAAGAAGAATAACAAGAAAAGTGACTTTTTGTTGAGTTATGGTCTGAATGTTGGCGAATCACAATGTTCATATTGTGAAACACCCAAAATGGTAATTTTAAGAGATGGGTTCTATTAGGAGGTTGTTAAGTCATGTGTGCTCTTCTAAAAAGTTGAAGGGGATTGTCTTGACCCTTCTGCCATGTGAGATTTAGTAGGAGATTTTAGCTTCACTAGGCCCTGAATCATTCTAGAACATTGATCTTGGACTTTCCAGCTTCTAGTACTATGAGAAATAAATTTCTGCTATTAGTAGATTACTCAGTCTCAGTAGCCCTAAGGGACCAAGACATCTTGCTACTAAGGCACATATGACCTAATACTAATATCCTATATAATGAGGAACTTACTATTCAAATTAGCTAAGATGTGGGATGACCTAGGTGATCACTCACTGATGAATGGGTAAAGAGATATACTCTAGGGCCTGGTGTGATGACTC